GGATTATCTTAAATTTCTCTAGATCTGACGTGACTGTGTCTGACATCACTCTTGGATTCCCATAGTTTTGATCTAGGTACTTCCATGCTGTTTTCAAATCTGAACTTATCCCTTCGATCAACTTTGCTGGTTGGGCATTAAGACATGACCGAAGAATTGTAAGCGTGTCCCTTTCAGAACAGTGGGCTTCTACAGCATGCTGGAAATCTGACTTGAAAATAAAGTACTGTCTTACATCTCCATCAAATTTGGGCAGTTTTGGCTTCTCGTGTTTCATGGCAAAGGGGCTTGACAATTTCACATTCTTTGTCACACTACTTAGTTCGTCTTCAGCAGGCTCATGCATATCTAAACTTTCCTGGTCATCATTTACACTATTGTTTTCATCATTCTCACCGTCCACATTTGCATTATTTCCATCTTCATTTATAGCCTGATTTACTACATCATCATTTTCCTTTTCAGCAACATTGGCATTCAAATAATCATTATACATCATAGAAAACTTCATGTACTCACTGTTACAAGCTTGCATCCATTCCTCAGCTTCGTCATATTGGGTGTCATCTAACACCATTGTAAACTCTTCATGCTTAACTTCCAGACCATTATACGCATTTTTAACAACATCAAACGCTTCTTTGACTTCGACAACAGGGCGCTGAGCATCAATAAGATTCTTACAAGCGATAAATGCCCTCGTTAATGTGCCTTTTGCAGCCCGTCGAATATTCTTGACTTTATCTTTATCCATTTTAATACTTTAATAGCTCCAAACCACGATCAGCACGTTAAATAGACACCAAGATTTTCAGATAATGGACCGACGATAATTTGGAGCTAACATACAATAATCCAATAATACAATACACGCTTGGGATTTCAGTATTAAGATTTATTCACAAATAACAACAATCTGAAACTAAATAATAATGAAATTAAATCGGTATGTTTACATATATTAAATTAGTACTAAATCACAAAAATGAATCAACTAAGGCTTTCTACTTACATCTGTCCTAAGCAAGTATCCTTTTCCTTTTATCTTAACATTTAACAATAATAAACCTTACTTAAAACTTTATAAACTTCATAAAACCATACGAAAACGTGTTCAAAACATTTCTACAAGCTCATCACATTTTTCCTACGAACCCTTCCGACTAAGGTCCGAGTAAACTCCGACTAACTAAAACATTAAAATAGTCTTACATGAAGTCCTTTCATCGTCAATGAAACAAAAAATGTTGTTTGTGGGAATAAGAGGCCCCGTGCTGGTAATAAATTGCCACAGGCACTGCGAAATGTTAATCCGGCCCTGTTCATGCCACAGGCCAATTCCGAATTACATAAACTCTACACCGGAGATATGCCGACATTTTCCCTTGATCATGCAACTATGATCATGCCAATCGTTTACTTTTGGGAACTAAAACTCATGTCAAAATAGTAAACTAATCTCACTCGAATATTCCAACGACTCAGTGGCCAATACACTAACAAATTTTGTAACCTCACGCTGGAGATCTTGGCGTGGAGTAACTGCTGAGAAGACCTCACTATGCTTTTAAGAATCATGATGCCGAAAAAGCATGAAGTGACATTTCTTAAGTATTTTTCTTTTTTTGCAGCATGTTTAACTTACATAAGATGACTGGTACTGGTTTTTTAATTTTATTTGGCCTCAATTGTGTGCTGGTTTCATGTAAAGGTATGACGTTCTTTCTTTTTTAAATTTTTAATGAAAGACACTGGTAGTGTGGGAAATGGGTAAGCGTGCGCACTTTTCACGTTTGTACGGCGTTTCAACCATACTTTCGGCTTTTTAGCTCTCACCACCAACTATGACTTTTTGATTTGACCCACTTTTTTCACCCATGTTCACGGATCATAGCTGCATGTGGACCAATGATTTCATCACACAGGAACCCCACAACTCAAAATTTTAATTTGAAAAATCTGTACTTTATATTTTGGTTTTTATCAGACAGTAACAGGCTTGAACAAACCGAAGGCGATAGTTATAGAACGCAGGTTAAGTCAGGAGTATCGACGGAGAACTTCTAATTCGAGGGGACACGTATCGGAGGAGAACTGTTGGGGGTTAAATTGACGAGTTAAATTGTGAGTTTTAGTCCGAGGATAATTAGAACAGTTATACTGTAAGTTATGACTGCATGTATAAGCATAACTACTTATTCCGTCGGCTAGAATGTCTTGTTCCTCTGTCAACCAGTGCTTCCTTGCGTTTCCTGAAGAATGTCGTTATTGTCCCCATCTATATATTAGCCGAAGTTTTTTAACCATACCTCCCCTACTCGTTAGAGCGCTAAAGGCCATCTGGCCATGTTACACGGTGCAATTTTTCTTGCAACTTGCAATGCAATTCTACTCTCAACATATCGAAAATTCTTCACTGATTTCACTAATTAACATCTCTCAAGAGTAGAATTGCATTGCAAGTTGCAAGAAAAATTGCACCGTGTAACATGGCCTTAAGTCACAATTATCTCGTGGCCTTCGGATATGTCAGTTACTTTAACACCAATGTTATACGCCAACGACTGCAGTATATAGTTCGGTATCTCGTCCAAAGTAAACGAAAATATTTTTCCAGTACGGCCCGACCTAGACGGTAAACAACGTATTTATTTTTTATTTAATGGTTCATGGTTATAATGAATTCCAATATATTTAAAATTCCAGTTGCGAAGTTTGAGATCAGTTGCGTTTGTTACTTTAGTCACAGAGAAGAGATATACAGATAGGAAACTCTCGATAACCTGAATTTTTGTGTCACGCGTTCCACGCGCCACGCAAAATCTTCCAGCCACTGCCGTCGCTGAAATTTCATAGCAAACGATAGGGAAAACGCCGTTTGTTGAAAGGTGAAAATCGCTTTTTAAAAAAAATGAGATACCCATGGAAATTTTGTTCAATAAATTATTGTAGAATAACGGTAAGCGATCACTTTTATTGATTTCTTTTTATTAAAAGTGTTATTTTGCAAAAGTTTGTTTTGCCCTATATCTACTCCTTATTAAAATCGTGAAAAGCACTGGCTGGGAATTTCAGATACTCATGTATAAAAAAAACAAAGCAGCAAATGATATAAACTCCTCAAAATATAACTCTCGCATAAAAAAAACATGAATACTTCTACAATACGTATAGTTTTTCCTCTGCATTGTCAAAATTTAACAAAATAGTGAATTAATATAATTTTATATAGTTATTAGACTGAATATATCGGTGTGACACAATTTGCCGCGTATTTCCTCTCTGTATATCTCTTCTCTGCATGTGCTTTAATAGTTTAATAGTACAAGCATGGCTGACAAACTGCTAAAACGACGCGATAATATAGCTGGATTTTTAGCTTTTATTTTCATTGCAATAGATACTTTTCTACTCAACAAAACAACACAAGCTAAACTAAGTAAAAATATTTATTTTCCGGATCGTTTTACAGCATGGACATGCTTGAAAAGTGCTTTGTGACAGACAACTACATGCAAATTTTAATTGCCGAAAAACGAATTGTTCATTTAAACAACATTATTATAAAAACAATTTTGATCGAATTAAGCTTTTAAGCTCAGGAATCGTCCTTAAACTGCCAGTTAAGGTATATTTTTAGAATTTTATGTTAAGGACAGTCGAGGACAAGTTGTACGTTGTAGTATTTATATTTATATGTATATATTCTTAAAGAATAGGTGAATATATATGTGGAATTTCACATATACCCCAAAGAGATTTCTTGTAAATGTTGACGGAACACTGATTGACCCAAACGTACGTAGTTCACCAGTATATGATTATTTAAACTTTTAAACAGTAGGGAAATATTTTTTGCTGTATAGGGCAAGTCTATCCACCATATAACGGGAGAACGATAGTTATTCTACCTGGATCAACTGCAATATTAAACTGGTCATTTGTCGGCGATCCTTCTAAAGCTTCTCTAGCTTGGTATTTCACAAAAAGAGGTAGTTCAAATGAAGAAGAACTTGCTGCAAAATTTCGCACTATGGCAACTATAATAAATAACAGCAGCTTACCCGGGGTTGCAGTAGAACCGCCAGCAACATTGGTTTTAAAGAATGTTGATGAACGTTATAATGGAAAATACCAGTTTGGCGTTCAAATAGCTGGTGGTGGTGGTAAGGCTGAAGTTGATGTTTTTATTGCAGGCAAGTTTTGATAAAAGAACTTCAGATTTACTTACTTGAAATATATAGATGTAGGATACCCTTTCATGCACGCAATTAATATACAATCATGAAAAAAATTATATACAGAAGCAAATTATAGTGGTCGCTTGCATGCATGATGCATGAAACACATGCGAAATAAATCATTTACCCATTCATTGATGTTCAAATGGTTGGTACTGGTGGTGATGCTACATTTGTCGTTTTTATTGCAAATACAGTAAGTAAAAATAAAGTAAAACTTCAGATTTGCTTACTTGAAGGGAAAGGCTTTTACTTATATACTTGAAGGGGGAGGCTGGGAGAGCGTATAGTTTTAGTTTCGTCTTTCCGCCTGCATATCTAATTTGTCCGGACGCTCGGGAATAGTGAAAGGCCTGTGGAGGAGGGAGACAATGCATTGTCTTTATTTATCCACTCCTGTTAACGTATTTACAGTGAATTTAAAAGAAATATCAAAATAATGTTCGTAGTTCATCTTTACATCACTACCGAAGTCTTAGCCATCCCTTCGTCTCTTTATGAATGACTTACAGAGACGAACTGCATGGGGAGGGAGTACAAGATAAGAAGAGGTGGAAATGCATTGTTAAATCTTGTCTCGTGTCTCATATGTAATTAATATTATACTCGAACGATATGTGCCAGCGTAGGCAGTTACAAAAACACCAAAGAAATGCAGATGCATGGATAAGGATTCAACAACCAGAAAAATACAAGTAAAGCTTCGACGTTTCGAGCGAAGGCCCTTCGTCGGGAAGGGAGGGCAAAGTTAACGGGGACCAAATTAATTCCCAACGAAGGGCCTTCGCTCGAAACGTCGAAGTTTTACGTGTATTTTTTGGTAGTTGAATCCGTATCCAGCTGCATTTTTCTGGAATTAAATATTATACAGAATAACCTACAGTCTGTTATATTTTTCGATACTCAACTCAAGTTAAAAATGCAATTAAACAAATAACACTTACTATGGAATTATTCTGTTGTTGGGCACTTCGAACGAGATCTCTTCAGGGTCAAGTTACATCTCAATAGGGATTACCTTTGTCACAATTCACAAAGTAACTCCTATTACAGGCCTTAAAATATATTTTCCAGGGTCGTCTGACAAAATGTCCGGTGACGTTGAGTTCGGGTCGGACATATGTCCGATGACCTTCAGTTCATTTTTGACTCGAAAATAAGTCTGAATGACACAAATGAATAAACGGTAAATGTTGTAAAAATATTAAATAATTTTTTTCTTTCATACTTAATTATTTCCAAGCCAAAATTAACTTGCTTTCCAGAACAGCAGTATCAAAAAGACTTCGACAACTTAAGCCCGTTTTCCACTTCACCATTTCGCTCGCCGCCCCGTGCTCGACTACGTTAAAACAACATTTCCAGTTGACTTTTTATACAATAGTACTCTGATTTTCCATTTAACACACAAGCCTCTAGTCCTGGGCTAGGGTACATTTTGATTTACGTCGGACAAAGCTACAGTTCGGTCGGAAACCAATA